TGAGATTAAATAGGAGTTAGGACATAATGACAAGCTATTGTGTTTTCCTACCCTGTTAAAGTTTACGGTCTATTCCCAAGGATCATAACAATAAATTATACCATATAATACTACAGGCCGATCAATTATTTTGAAACGATTTGCATGCAGTTTTTCTTCACAAATCGTTTCAGAAAAAAAGTTCCTTACTATACCAAACGATAGACAATTTAATTCTCTACAAGATTATATATTCGTCTTTAAGACTCATCTTTGATGTTTGGTACAGTAAGTCTAATAGGAAAAGCTCTAAACTTCTCAAGTTTACCTTCAAGAAATCGATTTTTTGCGCAGAACCTCGCTAAAAATCATTTGTTCAACAAAACAAGGTATACCGAAAAATTCAGCAAGAAATTTTCTACAATATGATGTCTTTTTAATGACAAACAATGAGTTTTTAGATGAACTCAGAGCGAAAAAGAGTCTTTAAGAAAGGTCATTTTCTCCTATTTTTCGGACATCTTACGTTACGCTTACGCGTTAGCGACAACCAGTATTGTCTAGTTTTTCAGGTAAAAAAAGTGGCACATTTATTTGTAAGTTACACAGTCTAATAGAGCGCGGAATTCTGCATTTTTTGGTCTATAACTAGTGATTTGAACTTTGGATTTTATTTTTTCAAAACTTCCTTTTAGTGCTAGAAACTTCGATGAACTTGGAAGTTTATGTATTAAAGCCACTACCAATTGAAATAAGTTTCCTTCAAGTAAATGTTTTTGTAAAGCATGGGATTCTTGACCATTTGACTGTAATAAAATTATTTCAAATCTTTTTGTACTCCTTATAAGCAATTAAAAAAAGAGTGCAGTTTGCACTTTAAAACTGGGTCGTGAAGTTAAAAAATTTGGAGCTTTTTCTGTTAGACTTACTGTGCCAAACATCAAAGATGAGTCTTAAAGACGAATATATAATCTTGTAGAGAATTAAATTGTCTATCGTTTGGTATAGTAAGGAACTTTTTTTCTGAAACGATTTGTAAAGAGAAACTGCATGCAAATCGTTTCAAAATAAATTGATCGGCCTGTAGAACTCTACCAATGTCACATTTTTTGAAGAATATGGCTATCTGTCCACGGCGTTTCGCTTTTTCCATCGTTCTTGGCATTCTGCGCAAGTAAATCAAATATTACCTTGAATACATTTTCCGCATATTCCAGAAACTTTTAAGCAAAACATAAAGAGGGGATGATTGTTGGTAAGACACGCATGATAAGTTTCATGACCTATTAATTTCGATTAGTAATTGTAAATATGCAAGTTATACTCAAAACAAACACGAAATAAAATCTGGTTTGTATTCGGTTGGATTCTTTGTATTGAACGAGCAAAGAGTGCCCGATCGGTTCGACAGCCGAAATGGCTTATTCATCCGGTCCCAACCAAATGTATCAATCATTCTTATTATTATGTATACATGTGTATATTATTATTTATTTACGCTAAAAACTGACATGGACCAGTGAAGCCATTCCACAGGTCCAGTTTACACTTTTAAATGATCAAAGTCCGATATAGTCAGCTTGTAGAGCGTGCTCACCTATATCCAAAGGCAGTCATCCATTCTGTGGAATACTGCTAATATTATTCCAGTTCACAAAAAGGGTCCAAAAGGATTAGTTGAGAAGTACCGTCCTGTATTCTTATTGTCTATAATTGGCAAAATTCTCGAACGCTCCATATACGATCAGCTTCTCCCGTATTTGAATAAACACAAATTTTTTTCTAAATATCAGTTTGGATTTCGCGAAAATAGTTCCCTGATGGACACTCTTCTTTCCTTGACATAAGATATCTTCACAAGTCTTGATATAGGAACCGATTTCATTATGATTCTGTTTGATTTTGAAAAAGCTTTCGATCGGATGCCTCATCAGATACTGCTCTCGAAATTATCTTCGTTGGGCGTAAAAGGAGCTCCATATAAATGGTTTGAGAGCTATTTAACAGATCGTCATCAAAGAGTTCGGATAGGCTTCTGGTTTTCAAGAGTGATAGGAGTGTCCTATGGAGTTCCTCAGGGCTCCAATTTGAAGCCTCTGCTGTTCTTGATTTTTATAAACGATCTACCAATGGTGTCTTCGGTACCATCTGTATCCGTTCTGTTCGCTGACGACTTCTCGCTATTATGTCCTACGAATGTCGTAGGCTCGGTAATTGAGTGCCAGACTTTCATCGATAGAATCGAGTAGTGCTGCCAACTGCGTCTAAAATATTCTAAATGGGCGTGGATTTACTTCACAAATCGCAACCAATCTGTAGCGGATTATCTGAGTTTTTCCATTAATAACTCGATCATAAAACGGGAAAAATCATTAATACTTTTAGGAGTAAAATTAACGCCTAATCTGCCGTGGGGTGAACACGTTAAAGACGTAATCCTCGAATGTAGAAGACGATTAGGTGCAATGTTTAGAACATTCCGATAAAGGATCCATTAAACCATTTTTAAAGCATGTATTTTGAGTAGTGTAGATTACGCTAGTACAGTTTACGATAGTAAATGGTATAAAGAAGATTTAGATCAAATTACTAAATTAGCCGCTTGTATTATCTATAAAAAATTTGATGGTTCGGTAACCTCTTTGACCAGCAAACTAAAGCTGCCAGATTTATCCACACAGAGGAAATATTTTCGGTTATTACGTTTTTTTAAGGTTAAAAATTCTCTCTCACCTCTCTCGGTGTTTGATCCTCCTTTTATGAAAACCATTATCAGCCAAAAGATCAGACCGTTTGAATAGTATGCAGGTTGAGACACCGACCGTATCGAAAGAACATGTAGCTTTTTCTTTTTTCTACCGTATCACTGTTGACTGGAATTTCCTACTACATACTGTCGTATCTTGTCAATCAATTACTTCTTTCACAAGCATTACGCGCTCACCTATCCATATAGCTGTGGTGTTTTTTGTTTTTTTCTTCTGTATTCTCTTCTCGTTCTTAGCGTTTGTTAATGATCGTTGAATTAACCGTTTTCTGGCGTTTTGTTGAAATCGTTTTCTAACGACATTAAAATGATCGCTGAAACATTTTATGTAAAAATGCATTTTAACGTTTACTTTTTCTTTTTGCTTTTACAAAAAGAAAAAATTCGAAGTTATATCATTTTAACGTCGTTAGAAAACGCGTTTACAAAAACATCAGAAAATGATTAATTCAACGATCGTTAACAAACGCGTTGTCGAAGAATGCGCTATTCTAACGTTTTGAACGACAAAAAACGCGTTTAAACGGCTCTTCTAGCAATCGTTCGTTAACGCGTTCGAAAAAAACGCGTTTTTTGTGACGTTTCTAACGATTTTCGAACTGCTGAGTACTCATTCTACTGCTCTCCATTAGTTTGTTGTCAGCTAATGTAATGTCAAGAGTCGACATGCGTCGGTTATTTTATCAGGACTTTCGGGAGTAGTAGTTTTAAAAATTGGAGAAACTTTTTAAAATTTTTTCTAGTCGGTAGTTTTGTGCACAAATGTTTGCTCTACCAAAAAGACGTCGCAGCCTTTCTCACGCTGGTTCGTCGATGAGATATGAATCTTTTTCTTTAAAATAGGACTGGTTATAACCGGTCGGTTAATAACCAGTCCGTTTTTCAAGTAAAAAGTTTGTATCTCATCGACGAACCAGCGTGAGAAAGTCTGCAACGTCTTTTTGGTAGAGCAAACATTTGTGCACAAAACTACCGACTAGAAAAAATTTTAAAAAGTTTCTCCAATTTTTAAAACTACTACTTCCGAAAGTCCTGATAAAATAACCGGCGCATGTCGACTCTTGACATTACATTAGCTGGCAACCAACTAACCCTGGGGACTACTAAAACGTTTTAGTAATTCTGACTTACCCTTTATTGTGTGATTATAAACAATACACATACATTTGATGGGTAACATACGCTAAGTTGATATCCATGTCGTTCTGGTTAGCTGGTCGCTTAACCGTCGGTTTTTTTGTGCTGTGTAAAATAGAACTACTGCTAGTAATAGAAGAAGAATCCCTAGCAGTATTTTCTCGACTTTCATTTATGTCGTTATCCTGATACTTTTTATGAAAAAATTTTTCTTTTTCTCTCACACATTTTTGAAAATCTGACGCTTGTTGAATGTTGAACGTTTTATTTAATGTGGATAAATTTCTTTTTAGAATACTTGACAAAAATAGTATACTATAGTTGTTTATTGAAATTTTATCAAAGGAGAAAAGCCGCGAGCAATTTCAAATGATTTTCACTAAATTCTTCAAAATCATTTGTGGCATCTAAGACACGAAAGCGTTCCTTCCGGAGAAATAAGCAAAAAAACAAAACTATTTGTGGTCACAATTTGTCATTAAATTCAAATTAGTACTGGAAGAGGATGATGCAACTCAGCCTTTCTTTGATAAAATGACTCGTCCTAGATATTTTTCTCTTTTCGAAAGGTTTAGATACAAATATTATAGTCAATACAGTCTTACGACCGATATTCTGAGCGACCTCTAGAGTATATGCTCATTGAGATATACAAAATATTTCTCTTAGGATATGTATCCTGTCCGGGATATGAGACCGTATTGGTGGAGATCATGATTGTTAAATATTTTTGTTTTTATTTTGAGAAATGGCATCCCAAATTGATTATAGTGGTTCTACGATTGTTTCAACACCCATACGTTTTTATGACTCCACATTCTATACCATTGTATTAATAAGTTTAACCTATTTAGTATTTCAAATCTATTCTATTAGATCTCATCCAAAATGTCTAACATTATTTCTCTCTTTTATTTGTACGTGTATTGGTTCCGAGACATTTTTTCATATTCTCTATTATAAATCAATATTAAATACTGATCGTCTAGCAAATTTAAATATTACAAATTCTTTTTCACCAGCGATTATTCATTTAATAATTCTATTATCAATCAATTCATTTTTATGGAATGCTACACAATGTTCAGCATTAGCAACATGTTTATTATCATTACCAACATCGTCTGAACATTCCTCATCAAATCATGTTTATCGTCGTTGGCTTCGACATATATTCATTGATCATATATTTGCATTAGTACTTGTACGTTTAGGAAGTTTAACTGATTTACCAACAATAATTACTCTAAGTGATGTAGCATCAGTTTGCGTACTAACAAGTTGGTTTTCACAAGTAGCTATATTTCCCTGTGCATTGTGTTCTATACATTTATTTGTTAAAATAGAAGTAGATGACTCGAATACTACTACTACTACTACTACCATTATTCCCATACAACCTGCACAGGATGGTGATGAACTGAATAGCGTGTTACATCGTATAAAAATAATTAAAATAATTGGTTTAGCTTTATTTGGTGTAAAAATTTCTGCATTATCCTTATGTGAAACATTAGCTCTCACATTTGCCACAATTATTTGTTTATCATGTTTAGTTATATCAACAAGAGAATATAATTACAATAGTTATGTATGGATATTCAATTCATTTTTTAACAAAAATCTCGCAAAAAAAATTATTGATAATGCGGTGGATGATCTAACACATTCAACATCAAGAAAACAACATTCATTGTTAGAAAATGACGTCAAGCAATATTCAAAAAGTATATTAAAAAAAGCATCTAATCTTCAATGTTTTTCTTTCACATTAAAGTTCTGTAAAAAATTATAGAAACGATATTCTGCTCGATCATAATGACCAGAATAAATCCAAAAAGTGCCTCCAGTAACTAGAAGAGTTCTCAGTATGTATGTAAGTTCAATTAAAATTTGCCGATACGAGATGTCTAGAAAAACAGAACTCTATGAAACTAAGTTCAACCAAGAAATTGAAAACTTTTTGAACACAACTTACTTGTGTGGAAGAAACTTTTTTCAGACAAAATGAGACATCTTCGATCTCTTCGCGACATTCTTACTTCAAATCTGTATTTATTTTACCAACGATTCCAGTCCTGCAAGACTAGCGAAATCAACAGGAAAACAACAAAAATTGCGTTTGGAGTCTGTCGTAAAATAAGTGCAGTTTTGATGTAAGAATGTCACAGAGAGATCGAAGATGTCTCATTTTGTTTGAAAAAGTTTCTTCCATACGAGTTGTGTCGTCAAACAGCCAAAATAAAGTCAAAAAGTTTTCAATTGCACTCATGAACTTGGTTTCGTAGAGTACTGTTTTTCTAGATATCTCATATCGGCAAATTTTAATTGAACTTGCATACATAATGAAAACTCTTCTAGCTAGCACTTTTGGATTTGCTCTGACAATTATGATAGAGAAAAAAACGTTAAAAACAAACGATTTCTATATTTTTGTACAAGACTTTTTGTCTTGTTAATACGAAATTCACATACAGCTAGGTATGTGAATGAGTAACATACGTTTTTTTGTAATGTTAGAACATACTATATTGAATTTACCGAGTGTAGAATATATCCGTACATTATGCATAAATATTTTCATCAAATGTTTAGATCTGCCGATATATTCACAAAATGGAAATGACAAAGAATCGTCACTTTTAAATTATCAACATAGTCCTGTGTCAACAACTATTAAACCACATTTTGAGGACAAACAGTCAAATAGTTTATCACCAACAGTTGATAAAAAAGACTATAAATCTCTCACGGATAATGAACTATTACAAATAATCAAATCAAACAACCAGCGAGAATTATTAACACATAATTTAGAAAAATATTTACCCTTTGATCGTGCCGTTTCTCTAAGACGTTTATTTTTAAATGAAAAACTATCAGAATTATCACATGTATCTACAATCAATGATTTACCCTATGATCATTACGATTATTCTCGTGTAATTAATCAATGTTGTGAAAACGTTATTGGCTATGTACAAATTCCTGTAGGTTATGCCGGACCATTATTGATTGATAATAAAGAATATTATATCCCATTGGCAACAACCGAAGGAGCATTAGTAGCAAGTACAAATCGTGGGTGTAAAGTTGTTACATTGTCCGGTGGTGTACAAACAACAGTATTTAATGATGGTATGACTCGTGGACCAGTGTTAAAATTTAAAACAGCCAGAGAAGCATATGAAGCGTATAAATGGTTAGAAATTAATTTTAAACAAGTAAAATTAACGTTTGATCGTACAAGTAGTTATGCAAGATTGACTAATATCAAAAAAACAATATCAGCACACTATTTGTTTATTCGCTTTGTGGCAACAACAGGCGATGCAATGGGTATGAATATGATTACAAAAGGTGTTGAAGCAGTATTGGAGTTACTGAAACAATCATGGGATTCAGCTATTGATATGATCAGTATAAGTGGTAATTATTGTATCGGTAAGTAGATAAACAATTCATACATCTTGTTCTTAGTTCTGATAATTATTAATTATATGGCTAGATAAAAAACCATCGGCTTTAAACTGGATCGATGGACGAGGAAAATCAGTGATTGCTGAAGCTATTATATCGAGTGACGTATTAAAAAATGTATTAAAAATGGATTGTCAACATTTAATTGAATTAAATTTGGCTAAAAATATGGTTGGCTCCATTATGGCTGGTAGTATTGGTGGATTTAATGCTCATGCAGCAAATACCGTTTCAGCTATGTTTATTGCATGTGGACAAGATACAGCACAATGTGTTACTAGTAGCACTTGTTTAACATGGTTAGAAGCAACCGGTTCAGATAAACAAGACTTGTATATCTCCTGCACAATGCCTTCACTGGAAGCTGGCACAATTGGCGGTGGTACAACATTATCTGGTGGACAACTGGCATGTTTAAAGATGTTAGGTGTTTCTGGATCAAATTCTCTCGAACCCGGGGCTAATTCGATTCAGTTAGCAAAAATTATATGTTCTACTGTTTTAGCTGCTGAACTCTCATTAATGAGTGCACTGGCAACAAATGATTTAGTCAAAGCACATCTTAGCTTAAACAGAACACCGACAGTACCTGAATTTAGACAAAAATAAACTATACAGAAACTGATCAAAATAAAACTAAATGATCTTTAATACGTATTATATTCGATTTCAGGTAGATTTTGTTTTTTTGATGATGAAACTCAATTTTATTTTTTTAACTGTAAAGTTGAAAAAAGAAATCTTCTTAGTTGAGTCTCCAACTACTTTTAACAAATTTTTTGTTTTATTTTTTTTAATATTTATTTTAAAGACTTTTTAAGAAAATACATTCAAGTTTTAGTTGCCTATATAGTCAGTTGCAAGAAATTATTTTTGAAATGTGCAATTTATAAAAAGTAACAAATTCAAGACAATCTCCTATGATGATGTATATAGCGATAAAGATAGATTAAATATTTTCAACTTTTTACCGAAACAATGAATAATTACGTTCATTGAATGGAGACATATAGTTTTTGATTTTTTCTTGTGTTGCGTATCATAAATAGCTCAATATTTTGTGAAACGTCACCTTACTCATCATGCACTTGCAATATTTAAAACAGTTTTTTTTCTGGATTATTTTTAATTAATTTTCAGATGTGTTGTTGTTTTCCTGTATTTTTTTTTTGTTCGTTTTTCTTCTATTTATATTTTTCTACTTTCTAGATTAATAAAGCATTTTTACTTTGTATTATAAAGCAAAAATACAGTAGATCTATAATGAACAGATTCCAGTGGATTATTGGCATAATTCCCATATCTTATTAACACTCATTAATGGTTCTTCTTGTTTTTTTTACTATTAATCACAGTTGTTATAGAATCAACATAAATCATTTTTAACGGAATATCAAACATAATCGATGTGAACTCGATAGCTGTTCTCATCATTACATCTGGGTGTATTTCCTGTTTAACAGCATATTTTTATCATTAGACTCGGCTTGGACTCGATGCAGGAACGCTTTTATTGAAGAATAAGTCATATTCGGAATCAGCGTAAAAAAACTGCATCAGACGATGTATAACATAAAAATGTTTCAGAAAAATCTTTTGAGAAACAATTTAGATAAGGTTCTGTCTTATAGATTTTTGGTTAAAACAAAACTTTTCTAAAACAAATTTCTTTTCCTTTAAAATGGTTCTATGCATGCGTGATAGATGATGATTTCTGTTCATGGAATACCATTTATGATGAAAAAAATTCTTATATCTGCATTGAATCGTAAGGTTTTCCAGAAGCTAGTCTCTGAAATACTATGAAGAAAGCACTTCGAAATTTTTTTAATTAAACCATTAAAATGAACATATATAAAAACCTAAGAATAGTGGCTTTCTAAATTCTCAAATGCTTTTTTAAAGAAGTTATAGCACATGTCCGCATCACAAGCCAAAATTGCACACTGTATGACTGATACTCACTTAAATCCTGTTTTAAATTTTAAACTAGCGATTATCATTACTGCTTATTTTTAGAAAAATCCATAATACAAACAAAATGATAAGTGTATTAGTTCAACAAAAAAAAATAAATAAAAAAATAATGAACAATCAAGAGTACACCATTTCATGCGTTTAAATATCCATTGACAGAGAGAAAATAGAGTAAGAAAAATGAAAGCAAGAATTAAAAAAAAATTATGTTTAAACAAAAACATTGATGAAAGAAAGACATAGTGTATAGAAATCGGTAGAAAATATTGCACATTTATATAAAATAAACAAAAGTTAACAAAACAAAAGTAAAGAAAAAAAATCTTTTTTTTTTAAGAAACACTGTACATTAGATAAAGATACAATATAGTATAGAATAGAATCAATTTCAATTTTAATCTTAATCATAATATAATCAACAATAATTTGCGAGTGTAGATGGAATTTTAGTTTAATTTTTTTTTAAACTTATCATCAAATATATTGTGTAATGGAAAATGAATGAAAGAAAAAACAACTAAGTCATGTTTATAGAGAAAAACTATTCATAAAATAGGATAGAAGTTTCTAAAATTATTCTTGATATGTTAAATGTTCTAGTAACAATAAAAATAAACAAACAATCGAATGTAAATCGTTTATTATCTGACGAAAAAAAAAATAAATCAAAGTTTCAGCGTATCCAATATATAAATTCCATTATCATATTTTGTTAGAATTGTTTGTTGAATAAAATCGTACATATTTAAATCTTTGGCAAGACGTGCCATTAGATGTATGTCATTGGATAATAATAATAATTGTTGAAAATTTGTTTTTATATGTGTTTTTAACATGTATATACTTTTATTTTCATTTAATAAAACTTTTAATTCTTGTTCAACAGTTTCAATTAAATCATTTGTTATTGGTAAAAATTGTTGATATTCAATATAATATGGTGAATTATTTTTAATTATAAATTGTTCAAATAATGACTGTGGCCAATAGGATTGTTCATTGTAGGCTTGAGATACGATATATGAATGCCAGAAACGATCATGTTTAATTAAAAATTCTTTTAATTGTCGTGGATTTAAATTCATAATAAATATTTCTTTTGATAATAATTCAATTTGTAATGAACATAAGCCTGAATTATAAAAATAAAAAAAATATTGTGTTATAGTGACTTGATGTGCTAACAGAGATGGCCGATTACTGAGTCCGAGTCCATTTCGAGTCCGGTAATCTTTTAGATTCTTTTTTGATAATTATAGTTTATTTCTCTTTTTTTTCTGTGCCATTTAATACATCAATCTTGTTGAAACTAAACTAAACTTCATTACATTTTAACAGTGTCAGTTGAGATAGATTATTTTTCGTATAACGTGCTCTTTCGCGTCTAATCATAAAACCTGATTGAGAAAAAATACGCTTCATAGGCGCCGATGTAGCCGCAACACATAGAACCTTTCCAGCTAAGTTATTGACACTTGGATAGATCGGACCCGAAATATCAAAACTCAAGTTCAAGTCTGACTCCTTCAAAAAGAAATCTCCAGTCCAAGTATGAGTCCACTTGGAGAAAAATCTTCCAGTTCGGACTCGTCCAATCCTATGTGCTAAAAAATAAAGAGATGTTACTTACGGGCTTGTTTAACACAATTATCACAATTTTGATAACATCCAGCTAGATAGAATACGGATGATGCATCACTATAATATTGAATTAAACTTTGAAGAGTTGTTAATGTTTCAGCTGTTGCTTGCATTGTCGGATTATTTAATGTTTTTAATAATTTTTTTGCTGCATCTTGATACATACATGCAATATCTTGATACATTGTAAAATTCATTGATACAAGTGTAAATAAATGTTCATCATTTGGATGATAACGTTTTAAATAATCAAATATTGATGTTGATAAACGTGTAGTATCATCCATTGTTGTTGATGTTGTAGTTGTTGTTAACAATTCAAATTTATCATTATTCCATAATATATCAAGTACATAGATCATTTCACTATACTGTTTTAAACCAATAAATAATCGAACTAACAAATTAAATTCATTTAATTTTTCTAATACATAGGCTAAATAGTGAACATCATCTAATATTAAACAGATACCTTCCATATTACATGAATAAATAAAACATAAATGACCATAAATCAATAATTCAACACGTAATGATAATTGAATTCTATTTCGATTATTTTCTTCTAAAATAAATTTCATTAAAATACATTTATCAATTTCTCCTTCGTTCTCAAATATGATTCGTCAGTTCTGTTCGGAACAAAACAGACACTCAGACTTACAAATACGAGGAAAGTCGCAGAAAAATATTGTCCCGTAAGTTTTATTTTTTGCTTGTAATTATGCTGTCACTTCAAATTGTTAATTCACCTAATCCATCAAATCAGAACCATCATTTTTTTATAAACTAATAAAGAGTAGTCTCGGATTGTAATTATTTTTTGTTTTATTCTGAGCAAGTACGTAGGTGTGTGTGGTGTACGTAGATGCACATGTTTTAAAAATAAGAATTTTTGAGTTTAGAATCAGATAAGTTAGATCTAACTTTTGTCATGAGAATTTTTCAAAAAAGTGACTTGAGATAAGCTCAAATTTGATTCATAACAAGTAGTTATATGAAGTGATGTGGTTAATGCAAGGGGGAGAAAACTGAGTTAAGGATTTTGAAGATTTGAATTGATTTGGATTGATTCAAATCAGTTTTCTTCCCTTGGGTCAATGGCACGATCTTCAAACATATAAGCTCTTGTAACAGTTACGGTTTATCTTATCTTAAAAAATGTGTGGAACAAAAGATTCTGTCAATTTTTTTCACGAATTAGACGATTCTGGGACAACATTTTTCGCTCACAGGTTTGAACTTATGAAGACGGGACAAAAAATTTTGTGTTCGATATCAGATGTGGAACAACCAACAATTTACTGCAAAAAACGAGTCTAAAGTCATAGTGTAATGGAAAATTTCTTTGTCTAAAGTGATACGAAGATATAAAATACTCTGAACTCTAATCATTTTTTGAGAGTTGCAATAAAAATTGTTAACTCAGTCAAAATTAGTTCAATAAGATGAGAGAACTTTTTGTTCTTAGACTTACGTTGTGAAAAAAATTCTTGTTCAAACAATCTTGATCGTTCAACTAAATATTGTCCAATTAATTCATAGTTTTTATCTTGTATTAAACTGATGAATTGTTGAAATGTTTGAATATTATTTGGTAGAAATGGTAAACAATCATTAGCTATTGCTGTTTCATCATAATCACCACCCTGATATTTTGACTGTTCAGCTTCAGTCCACATTTCTAACGTTCTCACTGTTTCATCTACAATTAAATTGCACAAAATCGTATTATCTAATTGCAATTGTTTACATAATTGTTCAGCCAATTTAATTTTATCAGAATAAGATGCTAATGTTGTAGCCGGTAAATAGAGTAAATTTCTTAATAGATCCAATTCACTATGACATTCTTCCAATAGATGTTTAAATGATGAATATTTTAACATAACACTAATTTTAAATAGAGTATTGATTGTTTCGCACAATCGATCACCATTCACATTTGAACGTGAACATATTAAATCAATTAGATATTGTTTTTGTTCATTAACAGCCATTGATGTTTGAAATAAAGATGATGTTGCATCATTTATTTGAGATATTGAACGTAAAATATTTGTCAAACGTTTTTGTGGTAAAGCAATATGTGGTAAATGTTCTAAATGTAAAAGTGTATCAAGTGGCGATAAAATATCTAAACATATACGTTGACCAATTGAATACAATAACAAATCGTACGTTATCATATGATATTTTTCAGCAATTGCAAATGAAATAATTGGTGAAAAACGTTTCATAAATTCGTCTTGAATAAATTGTAAGATTTGTCTCAAATCTTGATCAGGTAAATGATTGGTAAATAGCGATGATCCAGATGTCGATGTTCGTCTACTACTTGCGTCACTACTCATGGATTTTGAACGATTAGCTGTTGATGATGAATAACTTGCAGTAGGAGCAACTAAAATGTGGAATAGAACAATGAGAAAAAAAAATTTTGAATGCGCACTACTTGCTCAGCAATTATAATAATTATTCCCGCATTTACTAGATAAAACAAGTCTATTAAAACAAAATGATTCGATTCTTGCGAGTGTACTATCCATTTTGAGACTTTTACAGATTGGCCGTCAAGCTAAAGAATCTTAGCTAATCAAAAAACATTTATGTGGTGAAATTTTTTACTAACTTTTTTGTTCACGTGCTTCTACAGTAGTGGTAGTAGTAGTAGTAGTGGTAGTGGTAGTGGTATTTAAGGACGAAGGTGTCGGATAAACATTTTTTAGCAAAGCAGCTTCAAAAGCATTTTCTGGTACAATAATTGGTTGCGTGTTCTCCGTGCTACTTGATTGTTTGTCTGTAATTGTTTCAGTTTCATCAAATAAATGAATATATTGATCAACTTGAGTACAATAAGATGTAATTAATAGTTGATCAAGTAATGGTAATGAAAACAAATTATTAATATAATCGAATATTTTTTCTATAAAAAGATCATTTTTTGTTCTATATTTATGAACAAAATCGATGAGTGTTGGCCATAATTTTTCATCAATATACGAAAGATCATTTACACTATGAGAATGTTGTATTGAAGGTGTAGATTTAAGTGTTGATGAACGTTGTGATTGTTTAGATGAATATAAAACTGTAAAATCATCTGTTTGTTTACTAAATGATGTTTTATTAATGAATTTTACTTCACTTATAAATATATATAATAATAATTGTTTTAATTTGTTTTCTCGATGTTGTTGTTTGACAGTTGATATTAAAAAATCTAAATACAATGAATATTTTTTTAATCGTTTTATTAATTCTTGATGACCATTGTGCATTGTCTCAAATAATAATTGTAAATTATCATTTTCAATATCATCAAATGTACATTTAAAACGTTTAAATAATGTTATATCAATTTCAATATCCATACAAGCTGATATTTCATCAACAATATCAAATCGATCATGTTTAATTAATTGTTCAATTAAAATCATAATTGAACGATAACATCGATCAGTATATAATATACAAGACCAATCAAAAGAAATTGGTGATGGATTTGATTCTAATATTTCAAATAAATTTTTATATCGATAAAATTCTGATTTTTCACCTAATAAATTAAGAATAATTCGAATATCAGTTAATGATCTTAATTGACGAAACATTATTGTTAAACAATTTGTTGTTACTTGTTTTAACCATTGTTGACTTTCACCTAAACCAATTTCAATTTTGTTTGTTGACGTTGTTAAATAAAATTTATCATAGATTAATTTTAATTCGGTATGTATTTGTCTTTCATCATCATCTGTTTTTAATGTTTCTACCGTACAAGTATGACAAAATTTAAATAAGTAATATAGACGTGTTTTATTAGCAAATATTTCTGTTGATAATAACAATATTGACCAACGACCAAGATCAGCAAGATAACATATTAAATTTGATGCTAATTGACCTTTAGTTGATAAAAATAGATGAGGATATTTAGCATTTAATGATTGAAGAAATAAGACATATGAATCAATTGTTTTAACATTTGGTAATGTACTGTATAAGACAGCTAATAGTGGACGAGAACACTGTAAAGCACCTAGAAGAAGAAAAAAATCATATGAATAAAGAATTATTGAGAAGTATTTTCAAAGGTCGACGAAGTAATCATCTATTGAAAACTAAAAATATCGTACAATACTTCAAATCTTACCTTGTTGAAATCGTTCTTTCAATTGTGATGAAGTTAATGAATTGTCAGTTAACAATGCAAATATATCTTGTTTATTTAGAGGTGTTAAATCTTGTTTAATATAAGATTTAAAACAGCATTTTAAATGTTCATTAAGTGGTTGTTGTTGCATGGTAGTAGATGTTAGACAAGCATAAAAATCATCAATATTATACTGAAATAATTGCATAATAAACAATGTTTGATACCAATCGGTATTACTCAAATAATAAGTAATCAATGTTCTTGAATATGTTAATGAATATGTTTCACAGAATAAATTAAATAATAATAATAATTTCATTGTATCAAAGCAAAGTACTGTGGATGATGTTAATGGTTCTAATATTTTTAATGATATTGATGTTAAATCATCATTTAGAAATGTTGATGTTGAAAATAAACGAGTTAAAGTTGAATATAAACGAAATTTAAATAGATCATCAGTCATATTACAAATATCCATTAATACAATGGATGATGAACAATCTTTTTCAGGTTTTACTGATGTTATTAAAAATTGTTTTAATCTTAATAAACGTTTTTCAATATATTGATGTTCATGAGTATTAAATAATGATATAAAATATGCATACGATGTTAATGGACGTTGTTCATTGAAATAATAACGATAATCAAGAGTTGATGGTGAAGATGGTTGTATTTCATTGAAATCGTATAAACTTGTTGTTGCTTGTTCATTTGAAAGTCCATTTTGCTGTTGCCATTGAAAACATTTTGCCACATCAATTTGAGTATATTTATCTAATAACTGATAAATAGATACGTCAAATGGATTTATTTTAATTTTATTTAATAATCTTAATGCTGGATATTCTACAAATAAATTTGAATTTTCTTCTGGAACCGAAAGATTTCGAATTACATAAAGAAGAGGATCATGAATATTGACATCATTACACGAATTTGTTAATTTATAATCACAAGATGATATTAACCAATGACACCATGGTATATCACTTTTCATAGTCTCAATTTCATCCAATTTAAAGTACAAATAGGCCGGATAAATATTATACTTTTCACATTGTTTTAATACAAGTTGAGAATAATTTTGATCATCATTTTCTAACACACTTGACCAATAGAGATGATTCAAATTTTCATCTTCTCCTATAGATGGAGGAAATCGAATCTCAGATGATGAATTAATAATTCTCATATAAGACCAATATAATGATGGTACAAGTAATGACCAATAATTAAAATAATCTGTCAATTTGTCTGGTGAAGAATATAATTGTTCAAATAATGATAATGATTGACGAGATAATGCAAAAATATAATCCACTGAAGATGGTTGGCCATTTTCTATGTTAGATGAAATAGAAAAAGCAATAAATGAATTATTAAGAATTCATGCAAAGAAGATTTTTTGCAGAGAAAATTTTTAGCAAAATATTTTAGAATTTAATTATCTTTTTACCTTCATGTTGATAATTGAATATTTTATTATGTTCTTCACTATCTGGATCAACAGTCAGTTGTCTTCCTTCAGTCAATAGAAGTTGCTGTGTTTCTTTACTCCATTCTTTGCCCCATGATAATGACAGTTGCATGTAAGCAATTGGTGAAACTACAGTGCCATTCTCACCAACGTTACTCTGTTTAGTACGATTTAAAACAATTGAAGGAACAACATCTTGACATGTGAACACACTCTTTTTTTCCTGCTCAGCTGCCGCTGAAAGTCCGCCGAATAAATTATTCCCATTATCCAACTGTTTGTTATTATTCTTAGACTGTTGTTGTTTACCGGCAGCCGATTGTAATTTCAGCTGATATTGGCGATAATCGATAACAGCTTGGACATTTTCACTAAAGAAGAAATTTATAATTGAAATTCTTAAAGAAAAAAAAGAGTTTTAAAACTTTTGACAGAGTCTGAGCCATTCATACCATATTACGAATCTCTTACATCTACTCTTATCAAGACACAAACATGTAAGAAAATATTAAACGTTTAATAGGTTGATTTTTTCGTTATTACATAAAAACAAGCACTGTAGTCGAAGTTTTATAAAAGCAGAATCATAAACAGGATTTTAGAAAAAAACAGGAGTATTATACATATATCAAACATCTTGCCCACTATTTTGACCTAAAAAGATAAACGTCAATGTCTCTTTCCTATTCTTTAGCCATCTATCACATTTTTTCATGATATCATCTAGGTTTTCTAACTACTGGGTATCTAAGAAGCTGGAGAAACAAGAATCTGAATTGTACTATGTTAAACAAACAACTAAATTTTGACAGAAGTAGATACACCTTAGGTAAGACATCTATATTAAGAGTATTCAAGAGAAACAACAATACTAGACAATGCGGTAAACATATTGACAAAACACCGTGGGATTTTGGAAGTTAATGAATGGAAAATAAAACGGAAATTTCAGAAAAAATCTCACGGACTTAGTACAATTTGAAAATCTGTAGAGATAAAAGTTTTTTTATACTGTAGACAAACATTCTTTCGTTTCATACACAAGACTTTGGAAGACTCACTACGATCTCCAATAATAAATATTATTCAACTCACCTGGTGTAAATTTGCTCCAATTGCTCAATGAACGTTAATGTTTCTATTTCATTTACTGTGAGATAATTATCGATATCTAAGAGATAATGAGAACAAAAACGTCTTAATCTTGTATACAGTGTTGTCTTTATTATTCTATAAAGTATATCGTACGGCGATAAACCTAAACTAAATAATAATTTTATAGGTATTTTATCATCTCGATCAGCTAAATTTTGTATGACATTATGTAGTCCGGTGTCGAACACATGCTTTAAGGGTTGATCAATTAATAATTGTGGTGAATTATTAAATATACAATGTAATATAATATCATCTTTCGTCAATTGTATTTGATTTGATGATTGTGAACGTTTCCATTGATTGAGATCACTCATTGTTATCACGGATTGTTGTTGTTGATTTTTAAGCATTTGTTGTTGCAATGATAATAATTCAATTGATTTCTTCTTTCGACTTGTATAAAACCGATCAAAGTTTTCATGCAAATGATAGGATAATATACGTGTGAGTAAATAGATGTCAGACTGATTTGTTTTAGCTATATCAAATAAGTGATCATTCATACGTTGAAATAGATGCTTGTATAATTGAATAATATTAACATAATACGTATCATCCAATGGATAATCACTGAAATCAATAACAGAATTCAATATTTGACGACTTAATGGACGCTGTTTTAAAATTTTTTCGAATTGATTTTTAAAGTCCACTAGGCGCTGATGGCGAATGCGATCAGAATCTGTAGATAAATCGGTCGACGAGGACGTAATAGTGCTCGACCGTGGGTGCATGTTTTGACCAAAGAACAATCTTCTGTAATGAAAAAAGAGAACTTATATTGATACTTATATAATATGCTCGACGAAATGCACTAAAAAAACAATAGAAAACCATACGGATACAAATAACTGAAAATTCTTTGGAAGATTATTGGATTATGACTTGAAAAGCAGACGATGTGATATCGCATCGTCTCAATATCTTTACATATGTAAAGATATTGAGACAAATGGTCAATGCTAAACTGGTTGGTTAAAAAAGTGTCCGTAAAAGGTTTGATAAATTGTATATCTGCAGATGCCGCTATAAAATGTACGACACAATGTTAAAATAGCTTTTTTTACTTAAACTGAAATTCTAACATATTGATACCTTTTATCGATCTGTTTTCTGTCACTGTGCATCTTTCATTTCTTATTTGAAGATTCTTCAGTTATACTTTTTCTGTTTTCTTAGACTACGCGCTCAAATTACAAAAGATAAGAATAAGAATAATTAAAAAACGAGTGTTATATTGTCCGTTATTATTATATAGAATAATTAGCTAATAACGTTCATCTATGATTTCACTTGTTGATAGAAAAAATTTTACGAAATTTAGAGATCCACTAAAATATTTAATATTCATATACCGACGACGTAACGGGTGGGCTAGATTAAACGGGCCACTATTGTTTTCTGTTTTTGAGGCACTAAAAATCGTTTCAAAATCCGGTTTTGAGCTCAATCGATAGACAATTCATTGCCCTACAAACTGTTGAGTTTGTTTTTTAAATAAATTTTTCTTATCAACGCAAAACTTAACGGATGAACACCTACTCAATCGTCTAACTGCAACGATCAGAAAACGAAAAAATAAGGAATTTGCAAAATTCTCTATCTAATTGATGTTAAATACTTACCTTTAGCATCGGACTTGACGAACGTAGGCTTACACAAAGTGGTCTGTAGAAAACAGAAGATCGCAGATAGACGATGGAGTCGGTTCCTAGAGGATGACCAGTTTGTCTGGTCAGACCATTGGTTAGATACCTGTGAGTAAAAAAGTTCTGGCTTGTTTTTCTGACCAGGATCTGTTTTTCACCTGATCAGTGAAAATCAAGATCGCGAGCTTGTTGTATGTATGTAAAAATTAGGTGTGCGGCTGGCTAATCGTCCATACTGCGCAAAAGTCAGTAGAAGCCCAGAACGTTTTCTGGAGACCTTCCAATGTAACCATCACACTCAGAATGTCGTTAAATATTTCTTATTCAACACAGAAATCTCTAAGACTTTACTCATAACCTATGAGGATAGCTTTAAAATGTTTTGAAGAATTAGTGGTCACTATATACTACGTGACTTAGCAAAACAAACGATAATTATGAAAAAAACCCAGTTCTGGCCTTGAATCTGACTAGGGAACTTCAAAATCTTATAATTTTTTAAGGAAAATCTGTGAAAAATTAGCCAATGAAGTTTGAGGAGCAATAGATTATCGTGTCGTTGAGGTTGATTGTATTCATATATGTGCCACAAGATGGTATGACAATAATGTCGTTAATTGTCTTTCAACATTGCATGGTTGTTGTCCTACCATTCGGTCCAACGATGGTCCTCCAAAGAAAAGAAACTTGTCCACATTACAAGACCAGATGTTGTACAAGCTTATAATCAACATACGGGCGTAGTAGATTTGATTGATATGCTGATTTTGCTATATCGTATCAATAGTCGTCACTGATAGGTTTAAAACTGTTTTTTGAAAGTTAAAAGTTGTAACTGCGTCAGTTTTAGTAATGACTACTAACCCAAAATAAAATTACGGATGCTCATTTCAGTTTGTATTATGACACAGTTATAACTAAAGTTGAAATAGTTATAACTGTGTCATATCAATCAATGCAGTTATGCCAATCAACCCGAGTTAATAGTTATAACTGTAGTTCTTAGTTATAACTATTGTAAATTTCTGGCTAAAAGTTAAATTAGTTATAACTAATTTCAACTCCAACTGGTTATAACTCAGGTAGTTTTAAACCCATCATTGATAGTCGTCCACAAAAGTATTATTATAAGATGATTTTTTATCTCATTGATCTTTCGTTAGTTAATGCTTGGCTATTGTATCGTCGCTATTGTACACAACTTCGAGTTCCAGAAAAAAAGATAATGTCCTTGTTAACAATTCGTGTTAATACAGCTGAAGCTTTGTTGAAATCTAGTCCGCTGTCACCAGTATCAGCTCATCGTGGTCGTCCATCATTGCAATCAATTGATAAAAATAATCCTCCATCACAACCAACAGTTGCACCAAATCCGGCTCCAACAACAAGTGTTCGGTTTGATAAATATGATCATTGGCCTGTTGCAGTAGAAAAAGGTCGTTGTCGAAATCCTGGCTGTATGGGCTATTCAAGAATATCATGCTCAAAATGTAAACTGTGTCGATGTTTGAACAAGTACAATAATTTGTTTAAAGCCTATCATCATCATTAAGTTGATTTTCTTGTAAATAACTCTCATGTAGTTATTCTTATGTTGTTTTCTGTATTTATGTCCTTGAGAAAACTTCACTCACGTTACGAATAAACGAGAAAATCACAAAATTTCACATCTCATGTTGCCAGAGTCCATTATCATAGAGGACAATTTCAATTAACTATAGAATATTGTCAAAAGACGATTACAACAGGTTTAGAAATTCTATCGTCAACTCATAAGTGGATCATCAAATATAAAGATAATATAACAGTAGCAGGCGTCTTTGATCAACAGCTGCTCCCGCTTAGTCTTTCAAAGAAAAATTGATAACCTCGTATTGTAGGCTATTTGAATTTTGTCGTAAATAAAGTTTGGATAACATAACAATGTTAACGGGACTAGAAATCCGGAAGAGAATTGTTAAAATATTCATTGCGACGATTCTTTTTTAGAAAAGTCCTGTTGTAAGAGTTCAGCTGTAGGACAAACTAACCGAGTCTAATCATCGAAGCCTTATAATGCAGTGTCAAGCCTCGAAGAATACGCCGACATATCAATCAACTACATTATCAATCGTACGTATAATCAAGTACAATTAAAATCTGTTCTGTAGCTTAATCGTACGATCAATTAATATCCTCCAATCGGTACAATCACTTTTGTCGTGCAGGTTAGGATGACTTTCTTTTTCAAACCAAGAATCATCTAGTTTTACGGCTCAATTTTATTTTGAACATCAATAATTTTTTTGTCTATGCATGGAATCGCATGTAAGAGGAAAAATCAAAGTCAAATTAGCGATCTACATGGAGTGATTGTCATAATAGAGCGGATGAATCAAGACCACCACTCAAATAAACACTAACTTTCATATTGGCTCTCATATGCAAATAAACTGCTTCAGTTTAGCAATTTGTTCGTGTATGACAGCACTTAACTGTTAAGTGTCGGCCAATCATTTCTGATTCACTATGTTTCTCTCGTTATTCTTCATCCCGTGTAATATAATCCAATTCATAATATTAACTATATCACCATTTCCACTAGTAATAAAGTTTATTACTAGTGGAAATGGTGATATAGTTAATATTATGAATTACAATACATTGAATGTGACCAGGCGGCACTTTCTGCATACCTTTATAAATCGTTTGTAAACTGATCATAAAACCGCCGTTTACAATAGCTTCTTTGTTCTACATTGCTGGTGCACTAAAGATGAAAGAGATCAATGTAAATATGGTCGAAGACGGAGTGCCATTCAAACGAAATTTTACCAAAGAGTTCAAAAAATGTGCAGTCTTGTATAGAAATAATTACAGATAGCTCGCTTTTTAGGAACAAAAAGTATAGTTTATCATTAAACCCCATCTCGCTCTTTTCCAGGTATAAAATTAGATAACTTATAAACGACTCGATCCACTCATCTCAAAATAACTATAGTAGCTAAGTCTGGAACCTGAATTAGCCGTATTTTCTGTATGCTCAAATAATCGAAAAACAACTTAGCCAAATGCAAATAGTGGTTCAATTTTTTGTTCTGATACGTGTATTATAACGGTTTGATACCAAACCTATATCTCGAACAGCAATAAAAATCTAAAAAGCTGGATTAGGGGGGCTATGGATGGATCTTGACTGAGTTATGAATATTTTAATTTTTAATTTTTTAAAATAATCTAAAATAAGTTATCACCTAATATAGGTTTTCACTAGGTTCTGGAACTTCTTCGTAAAACACATGTTGCCATGAGCACATGTTTCCTTCGTTTCCAAGCAATGTTAACAATACCAGGAATATAGGTTTGTAGTACTTAAGATTTGGTGATTTATGTATTTAATATTCGAATTTTCATTTGAATTATCAGCAAGTACGATTGACAGTAGATACATCCCAAAAAAATGGAATTGTTAACTATTGCAACGTCTTAACATGTGCGTCTGTTTTTCTGAAGATGCTTCCTAGGGCGTCGTGCTGTAATTAAAATGGTATAATTAATTGTCTATTAAATGCCAGTTACTAACTAATGAAATAGTCATTAAATGGCCATTCAATGGTTTGTACAATCGCGGACTAGAATAATTTGCAAATTCCTTCCAAATTTCAGTGATGTATATATATACATATATCAGTCATGGTTGCAAAATAAAAGGGTGAATGAAACAGCCATTTTAAATGTCAGTTTTATCCCTGTATATTTTGCAATTGAAGAATGTCCTGTTATATAGCCATTTAGCTGTGACGGTTATTTTGCATTTCAGAATGCACAGTTAAATGCCTATTTTTGCCATTATAACAGCCAAAAAGTTTACAGTAAACAGTGACTGTTAACTGCCTTTTTTTCAACATTTTGTGGTATGTTAAATGCTTTTTCTCGAGCCTTTATCAACAATCACATAACGGACACTAAACTTACTGTTACCTGGCAGTTTTTTAACAGTTATTTGGGTGTTAAAAGTCAGTTTTTTTGGCATACATTTAAAACGCATTACATGGCTTATTAAATGTCAGTTATGTTTCACGTGGGATTGTATATCGATCCACTCAATCACATTCATCCTCTGAATCAAAGTCATTAGTAAAAGAAAATCTTTTTCTTTTCCTAAGAAGTTGAAACTGCCATAAACTCTATTCTTTCAAAATATTTGAGATTTCTTCATCTGCTGTAACATGAAATTATGCAACAACAATTCAGGGTGCCATTATTATGAAACAAAGAAAAACCATTATACACACACTCTCACGGCTATCCTTCATGTTTATTAGCAACTGATTGGAATGTAATCTCAAAATAAAAGTGAGTCATATTAATGTTTGAATCGCTTGTGAGTATTACCATCAAAGAAACTTTTCTCGTATGTTATGCATCGTAGGCCAGCAAACCTCCTTTAGAACAAGGTCAACTAATTAAAGAAAAATCACTTTTTTTCTAAGTAGAAACTGTTGTCATAAGCTTTATTCTTAAATAATACTTGAGATTTCTTCATCCTTCTAATATGAAATCATGTGTCGTTTGTTTCTTCCACTATAACTATTTTCCACTATACTTCAACTTCTGACAATGTTCTCCTCGAATGTTGAAGAGGTAAGTTTACTGACGAAGAAAAAAATAAAGTTCATTCATGTGGAGTTGCAGAAAATTGCCTTTTCATATTTAGCATACTCAATAATTCCGAAGATTTTTTATTTTTGACGAGGGATATTGCCAAAATTTTAAAACAAAATGACGAAAACAACTTCTTAGGGAAAGAGATATTAGTTTCAAAACTTTTATAAACTTTTAGCAATACCTAGCAAAAATTCTCTCGTATAGGTTATTAAATGTGCTGAATACGAAAAGGCACTTTTCCGCGACTCTACATTACATGAACTTTATTTTTCTGTTCTGTTGGTCATATGGTTTTTTCTCGTTTGTTTTTGGCGAAGAATCATAGCATTACGTAGGTAAATCTATCTTTGGCAAAAAAACGCGTTGATGTGCGTTAATTTCTAACGCGTTTAGCAGAATGAATTTTTGACCGTTGCAACGCGTTAGTTTTTAACACGTTTAAAATTAAAATTAAAAAAAATTAAATTCAACGTCAAATTAAATTCTGGTACATATCTGTATGCATAGATATGCATACAAACGGCTATACAACCTAGTAGAGTGACAAAGTAGAGAAAGAAAACAACCTGTACTTACATGACTTCAGTGTGATTCGAAAATGGGTACCTAGAATTAAGAAGCAAACACATAACTATATGAGAACTATTGAACAATCGAAATATATACAGTAGCAATGCCATGTGTTTCGATCATCTCACCCAGACAAAAGACAGTGTTTGCTTCTTTATTCTATGACTTCTTTCGCTTAGAATAAAGTATTTCCGCACAATTATCTCCTTTCTCATACCTAACTATGTGTTTGAGAGAAATGAAATAGTCTGTCTGTCAGGTTGATACTTGCGTTCCTCATCCTTCTGTTTAAAGGTGAATTCTGATACCGACGAGGGAAAATCCCCAGTGTTGAATCGCTTTCTGAATGAAAACTAGTGGATACTGGATTATCGAGCATGCTGATTCCGAATATGATCATGAGACCTGCCATTAGGCCTTCGAAGACTGGTTTCCCAAGCTAAAAATCTTTTTTCACCCCAAAACTTGTCTGATCTGTCTTGGTTGTAGAGCGTCCCGAGTTGTTTATAAAATTTTTGTCCTTTCAGATCGACTTTAAGTACGGTTATAGGGACTTGAAGTTGAAAGAAATCATAATTGTGACTATATCTCGTTCATGATCGATTTGAAATGACCATATCTAAAACTAACCCAACCAACGCGTTAGGTCACCAAACAACGCTCCGACTAAACGCGTTGTTAAATAAGGCATCTAAGCGCATCCATTTTCTCTAACGCGTTAGATTTAAACGCACTGAAATGCGTTCATAGTACACTAACGCGTCAAAACGCGTTACCATTCCAAACTAATGCATTTCAACGTGTGTTGACTCAAAAAAGGCTTGCCTAGGTATTGCTGTGTTGGATCTAATTTTGATTCATATCATTCATAAAAGGAAGAGTATTTAATTTTGAATAAAAAACACAAACGAAAACATTTTGCCATGTAGAACATTTTTATTTAATACCGCCGCTAAACCAGAGTTCTCAAAAATACTGTCGATTACCACGGTATACTCTGAAATCGCTCGGTATATCGGCAGCAACCAAGCGGTATTTTCCACACATCGGTACAATCCGTACAGGAAATGGTGATAATCGAGATATTCAATTCAATCAAGCAAGCACCAAGCAAATCAAAATCAAGGCATGAACACCCTGTTTCGTATCTCAACTGCAAGTAGTGCATTTGAGGCAAGAGCTCAAGAATTACAAACATTAGATTCTCGACTTTTCAGCTGGAATCACAGTGGGACAGTTAGTGATACAAATAGCAAAATAAATAAATGAAGTAGTAGAACAAAAGTGAGAAATAAAGTGATTTTTTTCGTGGTTTGTTTGTTCATATTGTAAGCC